ACCCTCCTTATCTTTTTACTTTTTATTATCATAAATTTTTATTATTACTAATTCTTAATAATAATTATTTTCTTATTAAAACTAAGAAGCATTTTTAATAAACAAAGGAGAAATGCTTGTTCTAACACACACACACACACACAATTGCTTTCAAGAGATGGTTTTAACATACAATTACAATTATATTTTTAGTATCTCTATTGAAGAGAATATTAAATAGTGAACCAAACCATATAATTAAGAGGTTGCATATTCAGTGCTCTGAAACACTATCTATTTTCTAATTTCTAATTTGTATATCTTTATAATGACTAGAGAATCATGTGCTAAATTCTTTACTTGGGATCTATGTTGATACCTCAGTAGATACATCATTAGATACAGCTGAAGTGAATTTTAAGAACATTCACTTATCTATATCCTTGTTTCACATAATACTATACATATAATTATACTTTTATATATTATCTAACACATTTGAATTTTGATTTCAAAATTAAATTGCCATGCAATATGCTTTCTTACATAACTTACCATTTTCAGCCTTTTGAAAGTAGCGTAATGCCTAAAAGACATTAGCATTAAAATTAGAAAAGTACTGTTAAAGTAATCCAAATCCTTCCAGGAGAAAATTAAAATAGTTCAGGAAATAAGTATTACAACGTAACTTGTGCTTTCTAAGAAATACTGCTGAGTAAAGGGCATGCTATATGTTTTTCCCTTTATACTTTTCAAGAGGATATATTTATTTACAAAAATAATTAAAACTCAGTTGTATTTTATGAAATAGCTGGTATATTATTGATGTTATAGTCAATGAGTAGTTAGTCATTTTGTAGATGATTTTCAGAATCTCAAGTTTTGTCCAAAAATATACTGACTTACACTACAGCTACATAGCTTGTGAGGATTAACCTTTCCATCTCCTTTTCTTCCAGTGTTTTAAAGGATAATACACTAAAAAAGAAAAAGCTATTATTTTATATACTGTTGGGACACATACCTCTTCATAGGTAGAGCTGGGTGGTGTTGAGAATAAAACAGCAGCTATGTTCCTCTGATACCATGGCATATCAGCAAATGTGTAACACCTGTAACATATGAAAAAAATGTATTTATTTATATTTTGTTTGCAAAAGTATATCTCCTAAGGCCACATTGATTATTTAAAATCACATGACTGGAGGAGGCCAGTGAAATCTAACTTTAACCCAACTCTAGAAAGAGTGGTTAGCCTAATTGACTACTGTACCTCCAAATCACTGTCAAAGAACATCTAGAGAAGGCAATAAGTAAGTTATATGCCACTTAAGAGTAGAAAAGCCTCAAAAACACTGGTTAGTTTATTCTGTATGAGAATTCTTCTTTGATTCCCAAACATATTATGACTTGGTGCTGACTAGTCACATATGTGTATAGATATGAACTTTGGAGTGATTTGGGGAGTAGGGAGAGTAACCCAAACACATTCTCTTCTTTTAGCCCGATGCTTTGCTTGGTTGGTAAGTTATAAGAATAGGACTTAGTTTAGCTTGTCACTGGAGGAGGAGGGGGAGCTACAAAGGTGGCATAAAGTCTTAGAAACTTCCAGGAGGACATGTTAAGATTAGAGAGAAGAAACCGAGCAATGAAAAATCTGGCTGGCAGCTAAGGGTGCAACAGTGGCTAAAACGGACTAGTCAGTTTCAATAGTTGTTGAAGACAGAATAACTGTTGCTGTCCAGGTTAAAGTTGGCTGGTAAACCACAGATGGATTGAACAGTTAATCAGGATTTATAGGATGCTGAGTGAGATTAGGATAAGACTCACCAAAGCGTTGAAGCAAGTGCTGAAGAAGACTGCCAAAGAGGAACAACACACACAATTGTGCGGACACTTGACTAGAGGACCCTTGAGCCAGGGCTGAATATAGATGGAAGCAACATATAATAAGATGATATGTAGTTTTGGTTTTTTTATCTGCACTCAATCGTTACCAATTCTGTGGCGACTGCCTGGACGAGTCCCTGCAGTTTTCAAGGCAAGGTGTCTCGGAAGCGGTTTGCCAGTGCCTCCTTCCTAGAGCAGAGCCCAGCTGGCGAGCGCAGGAGGCGGGGTTTCCGTTGCTTCATGCCTTTTTTGGGCATGCGTGGCTTCCGCATTACCAGCAACTGATCCCGTCTCCCGTGCAAGCACCGCCAGCATTTTTCCTCCCACCAGGGTGAGAGTACCCATTTATCTACTCACGTATGTTTTT